ACAGGTTGACTTGGCTTGTGGCTGTTCAGAGCAAGACACCAGGCAATTCCCCACAGGATGGATGATTGACGCCACGGAACTGTTCAGCAGATCCGGGCCCGTTGCCGATGTGACGCCATGATTGCTCGTGAGCCCAGGTTCCGCCCTGCAAATCGTGATTCTTGAAGAAATCCATAGCTGTCGATGCATCAGTGCTTTCTGCTCGGTAGAGGGCGCCGTTCTATCAGAGACAACGGGAAGCGCCAAAGGTATTGGCGCAGCAGTTTAGCCGACGCAAGACCAGCCGAATGGAGCGTCTGGCGCTCAAGGCTGAGGCCTAGATAGGAAGTGAGAGAAAGTAAGGAGGCGGCTGAGCCATGTGGATGTGGTGGATGGAGGTGTATCATGATCCAAGGCAAGGTTCAGTGGACCAGCTCCGTGCTGGGTTTGTGGGGGTTTTGGGGGTTCCGGGGCCCCCCCCCCCCCCCCCCCCCCCCCCCCCCCTGGTGGGGTGGAGTGGTGAAGCGAGGAGAGCTTTCGAGGTACATTTGTCCGTACTAGGCTTCCGGGTAGCAAAGCACCAGAACGAGTACGAGGGCGGGCAGTGGAAGTCTGTTGGATTGATGAAGAGGGTGGCTGGAGTGGAACCTTTGGGTCGTGGGTCGTGGAGAAGGGGGAGAGAGTGGTCTGGGGCCATATTGGCGCACCACCCACCTCACGTTGCCCTCAGCCCATCCAGGACATCTCAATGGCCGAGTCGGAACAACAGCGGGCGACAGAGTATCACTGCTGGTGGAGGGTATAGAACACTCTGTTAAACGTCTTGATTGGCGTTTGTGGTTGGTTTGTCCCGTTTCCCGACTAAATCGTGCCTTGTCGACGACCATGGCTCTCGAGGCAGCCGAATCTTGGTCGAGAAGAGGGCGTACGGAGCCGGGCATGTTTGAGGTTAACTTTGAGCTGGTGGGCGACGCGTCCTGATTTGCTGCTTAGGTCAGCTTTCCTTTGACGCACCTTTGGCAGGCCTGGCAGGCACCTTACGGCAACCAGGGGCAGGGCCAACCTGTTGGGCGGGGCAAGGCAAGCAAGGCCACCTCGGACCTGAAGGAGTGGAACCCCTCGCTGCACCTCCAAGCTGCACTGCACCTGCCTGGCTTGCCATTGTCAGGGCCAACACAGCCTGTGACTTGCTGGACGACTCTGAAGGAGGGGCGGCTTCAGGGGCGCTACTGCCTGCAGGCTGTCTCAGATCTGTCACAGACCGAGACACCCTTGTCTGGGGGAGGATTCTTGGCCACAGAATCGTCAGGTACGATGGAGCCGGGGTCCTGAAGAATTTCAGTGTACCCGTTCGATTTCCAAATACCTGTCTTCACCTGCCTGTCTGCCAGCTTACCTACCTACCACCTTACCTACCACCTTAGGTAGGTACCTTACAGTCCTGCGCCCTCACGATCTGTTTTGGGGTCCGCCCGCCTCGGGTCTTGATGTGTATCGGCAGTTTCTCACGACCTGTAACATCGGGAATGACCGTTCAGGTGTGCGACAGCCCGTCTTCGTTAGCCCTCCAACCTTGGCTTGACGGCGCCCCAAAAACACGATGCCTTCATCTCGTTCACACGCGCCATTTCTTCTAGCTCGCGCTCTAGAAATCCGTCATCTGCCTTCACCCCACTGTCTTGGCATCCCATCATTGCCTTTGCATCTAGATGATAGCTTACCATCCATCGACTTGCCGCTGCTGTGAGGCTGATGGGTGGGCTGAGAATTATACTTCCGGCGTCCCCACAGGTGAGCCTATCGCTCTGTTGCCTGCCCAAAACCGTTTCTTTGAACCCACCCGCCACGTTTGAAGTCGTGCGCGAGACGTGGCACGATGGCACTATGATCCGAGTGCATTCGCTCTCCCTCGAAATTACCCGACTCCTTACAATCCTTCACAGGGGCCACAGGTCTCGGCCGCCACTTACTGTTCCTACCTGGGTACCATTTACCACCCACGACTGATGTGCGCTGTTTCGAGAAGCCTTCTGCTCGTTTGATGTTTCCCCCACCAGGACGAATCGAAAGCTGCAGGCCTGAAGAGCCTGCAGGCAATTGACAGTGCGTGGCGATGCCTGATCGCTGAGCAAGCTTCATGTATTGCATCCAATTGGTTGGAGCGCTGAATATCCGAGTCCGAATCGTCAGCCAACCGAGCCATGCTTTTCTCCTCTCCCCACTCGAAAAAGCCTAGTGGACGGACTCTGCTGATCAAATGGTAAGGCCTGGACGTTTGAGAAAAGAGTTTTGCTTGCATTGGCCAACAGCCTTCTGCCGGTTGTGCCTCGCTGGACACGTCGTTTCTTCAGTTCGTTCCGTGGTTGGGTCTGTTTGGCCTTAAGCAGCCTCCACTATAGCCTCCGCAAAGCCGGGATACCCGTGATAATTAGCATCATGCACTCCAGCCAGTAGTGGCCACTGGTTTCCACTGTCGAATCCCCCCACACCCTCTCCCCCGGGTGTGGTTGGAGTGTGGTTGGAGACGCAGGCTCAAAGGGCCAGACAGTTTATCTTGTTTTTTTAATCTGGGCGTGGTACTCACTCGTGATTACCACCCCTAAGCTAGTCTTGGTGTAGGCAAATTGGTTCTCTTTGAATAACGACGCCGTCGGACGAAATGGGAGCTTAGGTCGTGGGGCTCACCGTCCACGCTAGTGAGACCGAAGAAGGCGACGAGCCGAGTTGCGAGCCTTCCCAGGCAGAGAAGAGGATGACTTACCGATATCCCAAAAAAAAAGATATACTAACAGGACCACCTGCTTTGCATTGGGCCGCGACGACACAGGACGAAAGAAGGAGCTCGAGGCCGTGCGACGTATAGTCTCTGTCGCGCCTTGGCCGTTTCCATCAGTCTTCCATTAGACCTTCTGTGGAGACTAAGGTCTCGGTCTGGCCGCCGAGCAGGGACCCATCCTCGTCCCGCATGAAGATGCCGCATACATTAGGAAATTGAACCACCATTCCCCGCCGCCGCCGTCGTCTTATCACAGCTCTTATGGAGATCACCGGCCAATTATGACGCGATCCACCCCCGCCGTCCCCCCTCGCTGACGGCCTCCTGGTTGCAGTTGGCCAGGTCAGGCGGCGAATATGAGGACGACACAAGCCCAAGCCCCTTGACGCTTTGAGCAATGGAGAAACTCGAGGCCGACAGGGCACCCTTCATCCCCTCGCGGTGTGGAAGATCCTTGGCTAGCGGGATAGAACCTTGGTTCTTACTATCCTCTGGGGGTTTTGACGATGGTGGGATGACGGATCGCCCAGATCTGGGGCTGCTACCTACCGACTCGGTCCGTCTAGCACAGTCTGGAGTCGGCTGCCAAGAGTATCGTGTTAGTCGAATGGCCGACGAGCAATTCAATTCTCTATTTCAAACTCAGGTCGGACGACCAAGCGACTAGTTCAAAGGCACACCAATCGGGACAACACATGGGATGAGGACCACCGCCGTCTTCACCGTCAGAAAAGCGCCACAGAAAAAGAAGAAGAGAAAAAAAGGAAAGGACAAAACCAATTGCCGGTGATACAGGAGGCTGAAAGGCAGGAGAAGCATCTCCGTCGAAGCTCATTACATGGTAGGTTCGATATGCATTGAATGCCTTGACGTGGCGTGGGGCCATCCAGCCAAGTCCCGATGTTGCATTCCGTCAAGATGATCCAAACATATCAGCTGCGCGAGGCGCTATCTGGGGATCGCGAGGCAGCCATCTGCTGAGGCAGGGCAGAGGAAGCAAGGTCCCAGTCATGCAAGGCCTGCATCTTGGACTCAATCGTAAGGTTTTTGACTCATTCAAGGTTTGCTTCTTTCTACCATGCATTATTGATCACCAAATGAGAAAAGGGGAAAACTGGGTCAGGTATCCTGTTGATCTGACGGTGCACATGGTAGTTGGTGGCTCAAAACCTTGACGGTTTAGATGCCGCCACAAGCTGAGGTTGAGTCCGACTGATGTGAGTGGTTCTTTGTCCAGATATCTTGAGAAAGCAGAAGAGTTGGTTGTGCCAAACAACGGTCCAAACTTTGGCCTTGTGTGGCTGATCCTCTCTCGCAGTTTTTCTCGCGATTTTTTTTGAGGCTCCCCACAGCCTGACGCCTGACCCCCAAAAATAGCGCCATCCCCATCTCGCCTACAGAGAGTAGCCTGATTGATTGCCGAGAACCTCAAGACACCAACATGTGGCGTTCGGGAGATACCGCTGTCAGGCCTCGATGACTGAACAACAGCCACCGGAGCAGGCTCCGGCACTTGTGATACACGACGGTAGCCGTGTCGTCGATGCCGATGTGCCGGTTGACTTATTGTTCGGGTGAGAGGAACACGGAATTGGCTAGAAAAAAGTCCGGCTTCGCATCCTATCTGCTGTCACGAGAATGAATCCAACTGCCGCTTCAAGTATCGCGGTCGCTGACTTGTTGGGTCGGCTAAGAGCTTCCTCTAGCCGGCCGAGCTGAAAACGTTCTAGACACTCACAGGATCATGCGACTCACCAACTTGCAAGCTGCGAAGAGATGGTGGACTATTCGCGCCTTGCATTGCAGTGTTAGGTTTTTCGTTTCCCAATTCCAGACGTCACGTCCAAGTTGCATTTCCTTCATCCCAATGTAGAACATTGAGGAGATTAGGCGAGGGTCAAAGTTCTAACATGGCACATCACGCGCGGTATGCCCATCGGGTTTCAACGCAGTGTATTATTGCGATGCTCAAAACATAGGCCGATAAGTCGCGAGTATCGACAGCCCTCCTGTTCTTCCAAATACTGGTTCATGCTGACCAAGGGTGCCCCTTGTCTTATGACATGAGAATCTGATCTGTGTGACAAGTTGCAGAGAACGAAATCGGATCATACAATCACTGTCAACGATCAAGGACTTAACGAATTGAAGTCGTTTCAATAAATGCAAAGCACCTAGCAGCTACGTCTCGTCTGGGGTAGCAAAGCATACCTGAGCCATGTCACCAACACATCCACTGATACACCTACTTGAAATATCCATTCTCACAAATAACGTGGAGTTGTACAGATCCCTTGCCGCAAAGACTGACAGAATAAATCATCAGTTCAGTTCTTGTTGATCCTGCGCCAAATCTCCGTCTCGGCTGCTGCGAGGTTCCCGCCTGCTGTGGAAGCCCATTTTTTTCGCCGCGTTTCAACACACCCTCCTCTGATCCATCGAGCGGCCCGTTCTCGCGCACCGACGCCGCGTGCGCAGCGCGCTGGTTGCTGCTGAAGTCTGCGGCGCCAGCGTTCTGCTGGTAGCCCGGCGGGTGAGCGAGGCGGTCGTTATCGTTGCCGAAGGGCAGGGGCGTGGGGCCGGGAGGCTGAGGGTAGCCGGGTGCCGTGGTCGTGGCAGTGGAAGCGCCGTAGCTTGCTGCGTAAGAGGTTGTAGGTGGCGGGATGGACATTTGGGGCGGGTACGGGATCGTTGCCTGCGGAGCAGGCGTCTGTTGAGGGGGGTGATAGGCCTCGCCGGTCTTGGGCGGCGGGGGGAGGCCGGACGCGGAAGGCACGGCTCCGGGCTGAGGGGCGGGAGGTCCGGCCGACGGGTTCTGTGTCTGAGTGGGAGGAAGGTACGAGGCCGAGGGAGCACCGGTCTGCTTGGGCAAGCGTGGTGTTGCGCCTGGCTGGGCAGCTGGGTAAGCTTGAGGTGTCGTCGGCGTCGGCGCTGGGCCTGAAGACTTGGCTGCGGCGGAGTCTGAGCCGGCAGTTTGAGGTGTTACGCCCGAAGCCTTGGCGGCGGTGATGGGGCTTGATGCGTAGATTGGTACTGGAGGCATGGCGATGAGTTGAACGATGGCCTGATGAGAAGCGTGTGAGCTAGGTAGATATCGGAACGATCTGGGGTGTCTGAGCCGTGGACACACTTTGTGGTTATGCTCCGGGATATAGTGAGGTCTTGCGAGTGGCTTGTACTATATTGAGGTGTAGCAGGCAGACGTAAATGGCAGCCTGTCTGGCGTTGTTACGTAGTTTATTGAGACAAGGCGTTCTGAGTGTTGATGGCTACCTACTGTGACAGCTCTCAATGCGGAAGGTGGCGACGTCACATCAAGTGACGTCAGGTGACTGGCTTCATACCACGTAACTCCAACTCTGATGGCGTCCATATGGTGAACGCACGAGATCGGCACAAACTCACAACACTATATCAGTGCCTCCTTTCATTTCTAGGGAAGAGGACTTTCATTGCGGAAGAAGATTTCTTTGAACAAGAAGCGCAACAGGTTTCCGGGCATGGGAATTTTAACATGGAACTTGGTGGTCACTGAGTAACAACTTATGAGAGATCTAAAAACGTCTGTTCAACCCCGATAATTTTCCGTACAAGCAAGGAAATAATGCTCACCCATCCCCACCAATATGCATCCCATATTTTGACTGTGAATACGTTTATTGGATCGTGATACTGCTAGTAGAGGCTCTTTCGAACAGTCAGAAGTGATGGGATGGTCTCCGGCATGTGCCACAGAGCTCTCGGCGACAGCCACAGTGAAGGCACGGCTAAAGCTCGGGTGGCTGTGAAGCTTTACTGTTTGTGGATGGCGCATGAATCCTCTACAGGGATCGCAATAGGCTGCACCTCACGTACCTTGAGCACTGAAGCAGTTGCTGGGCCCGCCGACGAAGTGCTGAAGCCGTTGCTGTCCGTTCAACATTCGAGAATTGACGCCGCGCCTCTGGAGCTGCTCAACACCAGCCCGCGTAAGCCTTGCAATCGCAACCGCCTCAACACCTCCTGCAGACGGCGCAACCCCCCGAGGGGTTGAATTGATCTTAGTCGACTCCTTACACTGGTCCAGTCTGCGCCATCTTGACGGCAGAAGAGGAGGACGACAAAGTAAACGGGGGCACATTAAAACTCGCGAGGGAGAGATCAATCGAGAGTCCCGGATTGCAAAACATCGCCCACCATGGTCGGAAAAGTTAGCGAGAAGGTTCTCGCCCGTGAGGGTAAGCCTGAATGATTCGTTCCCTCCAATTGTTGTCCCCAGTTGCTAAATGCTGGCGCATAGGCCTAGAGAGGACCGACAACAACATGAAGATGTCTAGTTGGCCCGAGGCGACCCCGATCAACCAGAAGAACTACTACACGTGCGTATTTCCTTGCCAATCATCCCGAAGGTCCCAGCTTCTGACGTGTCTGCGATCACAGCGATTACATGAAGCGCGATGACCAGATCCTAGCTACTCGCCTGCAGAACGACGCCACTCGCGACAGACTTGTCCAGAACGCAAAGGACCGCGACCGAGCTCTCGCACGCAATGGAAACGCGGAGGTTCCTCTTATCATACCCGAAATTCACGGCGATGATGCCCCTTCCGAAGTTGGCGGGCTTGACCCCTCCAAAGTCATCGTCATCCATCCCGGCAGCCAGAACCTCCGCATCGGCTTCGCGAGTGATGCGCTACCCAAGTCGATCCCTATGACACTGGCCAACAAATACCCGCAGACCGAGGCTGACGCCCACGATCCGATCCCGCGCCGCCAGGCCGATGCGCAGACCGCCGATGAGCAGTATGGCGAAGAGTGGTCCAAGAAGTTCACCAAGTGCAGTCATGACCTCAAGATGGAGATGCGTGCCAACAAGCGCAAAGTTCTGCCAAATTCCAAGGAGCTGGTTCTCAACTATAACCGCCGCACCGAGCCGGATGTTATTCCTCAACACAATGACCCGTTGCAAATCGAATGGACTGATGTCAAAACCTTGGACGACCCCCAGTCGACGGCATCATGCTTTATCGGCGGAGAGGCTCTGAGAGTTCCTGATGACTCGGATCCCAAGTTCAAACTCTGGTGGCCCATGCGGCATGGCTGGCTCAACGAGGAAGACTACGAAAGCGCAGAGCACCTTTTCAACGATTTCGAAACCGTCATCGAAAAGGCCATTCGGCAGGACCTCGGCCTCTCCCGAAACAGCGTCTGGCCGCAGTATAGCTGCGTCTTCGTGATCCCCGATCTATATGACAAGAAGTACGTAGAAATGCTGCTTCGCTTTTGCATGATCGGCTTTGAATTCAACAAGGTGTGCTTCATCCAAGAGAGCATGGCTGCCACGTTCGGTGCCGGATATACTCAGGCATGTGTCGTGGATGTTGGTGCTCAGAAGACGTCCATCTCATGCGTTGAGGATGGCCTCTGCATTGAAGACTCTCGCATTAACCTCAAGTACGGAGGATACGATGTCACAGAGACGTTCATCAAGATGATGCTTTACGACAACTTCCCATACCAGGAGATCAATCTGCAGCGGCGCTATGATTTCCTGCTCGCAGAGGAGCTCAAGATCAAGCACTGCACCATGTCACAGGCCGACATTTCTGTCCAGCTTGCTCAGTTTCATCTTCGTGCACCAAATCAGCCCACCCACAAGTACCAGTTCAAGACGTATGACGAAGTCATCCTAGCCCCCATGGGCTTCTTTGACCCTGACTTGTTCGACAACGATCACAAGCTGAAGGGCCGCCGCAAGCTCGTGGATCGATCCTACAACGCTTACGAGGCCGAAATACCAGACGACCCTACATCGGCTGCGCAGTTTGGCATTCTGGCTCTCGTCAAGCCCTCCCTGAACGCTGCCACCGCCCCGGCCGCCCCCGCTGGCTCTGTGAACGGCATCGGCGCATCACAAACGGAGGTCTCCACTCCCATGAAGGAGAAGCCACAGCCATTCGATAGCTTCAAACGCAGTGAGAACGGCACAAATGGCACCCCTGGAGGTTCCAAAGCCACATCACCGGCACCGGAAGGCGCCAGTACACCGGCTCCTGCGCCCTTCGTCTTTGGCGCAGGAAGGGAGGGCATTAATGGCAGCCCAGCCCCGAACGGAGGGACACCGGCGCCTAACGGAGCAGCTGCCTCGCAACCCCCTGCCGGCATGTTCGTCGACGCGCATGCGCGAAGCGCCAAGTCGATTGCCGTTGAGCGTGATGAGGTGCTTCCAATAGCCCCTCTTGATCTGGCTATCCTCACAAGCATCTATAACGCTGCCAAGGGCGACGAGAAGAAGGTTCGTGATCTGTTGGGCAGTATCATGGTTGTTGGCGGTGGCTCCAAGATTCCTCAATTCACAGCAGTCCTCGAGGAGAAGCTCAAGGTCCGACGTCCGGACCTGCAAGACCGCATCCTCATCAGTCGTAGCGCCAGAGACATGGACGAACAGGTGGTGGTGTGGAAGGGAGCCAGTGTCTTCGCCAAGCTTCCGACGAATGATTCGTGGGTCACGCCGTTCGAGTTTGAGCGCCAGGACGCCCGCATCCTGCACCACAAGGTGCTCTGGGCTTGGTAGACGGCAAGATGACGATATGAGGGACGGGAAGCTGACTACTGGCGTTTGCTACATTGGCATGGAGTTGAGGTTGCTTGGTTGCACATGTAAAAGATTGGGGACCTGATTGATACCAGGGCTTTTGGCAGGGCAAAGGGTTTCCGACGGCATGTTGGATCTGTAGGGCGGGCCAAGAACAAGCAATGAACGACTAGAGCCTAACATTTCCTCCTCGTGATCATTCAAGACTCGCGCTGGCATGCATTTTTATGTCAAGTGCCTCCTTATTTCTATTGGGGTGAGTGAAGTGGGAGGTGGTCATGAGGCGCTGGGGCTTACCTAACAGCACATGCACGGGCTCTCGCGTCTGCCCGCGTACCGATGATGCGTGTTTCCAGCATCCTGGAGCTTGATTGACCAGGATCCCTCCTCCTCGTTCTGCAGTACATCAACAAACACAGCCCAACACCGAACAGGACCCGCGGCCTCTTCGAAATGTGAGCTCTATATTCTCGCGCTCGACAGCAAGCAATCTAGACACCTCACCCAACTGAAACACACCCAACACAATGGCCCTCATCCCGCGCTGCCTCCCGTTCGCCAGCTCGACTACGCCACTTCAAGCTGTGACGTACCTCCTCGGCATATCTCTCTTCTCCATCTCTTTCCTGGTGTTCCTCAACAGCAGCGTCTCCTTCGTGATCACAGACCTCATAGGCGTCAAAGATGGCGTCGGTGATATTGTCGGCACACTTGGTTTCGTCGACGAGATTGTCGCCCTCGTCGCCTGCCCAGTTTGGGGTCTCGTTTCCGACCGCCTCGGTGTGAGATGGGTCGCTGTCATCGGCTACACGGTCATCGGCCTCTCGCTTTTCCTGTTTGTGCAGGCGGGCAATGTCTATCCTCAGCTTCTGCTGGCGCGCATCTTCTTTGCTGTCGGTGCCACTGCTGCGTAGGTTCGGCCCTGTAGAGCTTCGTCATCGTCAATAACTGACCAAGGAGACAGGGCGACCATGGTTACGGCCATCCTACCTTCTCTGACAGGCGAGAGCGGTGCCGCATATGATGAATCGACGACATCACCTTTCAAGCCGACGCAGAACGCTAGGCACAGCATAGCCATGTCACTCGAGTCGGACATTACCATTACACCTGAGCGGTACAGGGGGATCGAGCCAACCGAGGAGGAAACCGCCCTCAGCCAGGAGAGGAACAGCATCTCCACACTTGAGAAGCCCTCTGCTCTGGCCGGGTTCGTTGGATTATTCACAGGATGCGGGGCGCTGGTTGCCCTGTCCGTGTTCCTTCCTCTGCCCGCTCGCTTTGGCGATATCGAAGGTGTGACGCCTGCTGAGGCCATCACAGACAGTTTCTACGTAGTGGGCATTGTCGCCTTTCTCGTCGCCATATTCGTGTTTGTCGGCCTCCGCGATCTTCAAGGCGAAGACGGCAAGGGTTGGAGAGTGTTGCTTGGGCTTCGAAACAGGGACGGAGAGCCGACCGAACAAGAAAGCCACGAGAAGCAGGTAAGTCGAGTCAATGGTTCATGTCGCCGTGGCTCGTTTGCTAAGATGCCCGTAGAAGGTCTTGCCTTATCTCCGCCTCCTGCGAGATTCCGTTTCACTCGGCTTCAGCGACTCCCAGATCGCCCTAGGCTACCTAGGCGGCTTTGTAGCCAGAGCCTCGACTGTAGCCATCTCTCTCTTCATCCCCCTCTTCGTGAACACCTTCTTCATCAGCAACGGTTTCTGCCAAGGGTCGCCGCATGACCCTTCGCCGGAATTGAAGAAGGAATGCCGATCCGCATACATCTTGGCATCTATCCTTACGGGTGTCGCTCAGCTTTGCGGCCTTATCTGCGCACCTATATTCGGATACCTCTCCAGGCGGCCGGGAGCCGTTAATTGGCCTATCATCGTAGCCACTGTCTTTGGCATCGTGGGCTACATCGCCCTCCCCCAGCTCTCGAGCCCTGAATTCAAAAATGTCGATGGCCGCGGTGGCAGCCCTGCCATTTTCTTCATCGCGGCTCTCCTGGGCATCAGCCAAATTGGTGCCATCGTCTGCAGTCTCGGCTCCCTCGGCCGCGGCGTGTTGACTGCTGACCTGCCGAAGACGCAGGTTGTTGCCACAGTGGAGGAGTCGACAGAGGCCCTTGAAGCCGAGGACGAGCATGCGCCGCTGCTAGCACACGATGCAAGCGTCGATGCCGTTTCTCGCGTGCGGCTCAAGGGGTCCATTGCCGGCGTGTACTCTTGGTGCGGCGGCATTGCGATCCTTCTCCTGACAAAATTGGGTGGGTACTTATTTGATTCGACGTCTGTCGGGGCGCCGTTCTACATGATGGCGGTATTCAATGGATTGCTCCTCGCTGCCAGCCTAGGTATAGACATGGCGCGCGTGTTCAGCACGAACCCGAAATAAAACGAAAGCTAGCATACGAGTGTATCATCAACGAAGTAAACGAATACAGATACGAAGCAGGTTCCTTCATCATAGCATTTCCGTGAGTGCTCAATATCCGAGCCAGGTGGCCTGAAGGGCAATCGTGAGCTTCTAGGCGATGCTGCGCGGCTACTCGTTCCATGCTTGCATATTTCGTTTGCCGATCCGACGAAATATTTTTTTTGTCATCTGCGTATATTGCAAGAAGAAATGAGTCTAGATCTGGTCTTCGTCTTTGTCCGCGGAGACGACTGCAGTCTCATACTCGATAGATTGACCACGGTGTGGATAGCTGGGTCAGACCTACGATGCCTACTCGTCATATACCTGCTGGCCTCGTTAGCGTATGTCAAGCGGTAGGCGGGGTAGATCGCAGCGTCGCCCTCACATGTAGCAGTTGATCCTGAAGCACACCACCTTGCGAAGCAACAAAGTTCCACGTTTCACCTGAGTCACCCCGTGCCCACCTTGTTGGACATGTTGGTATTGTAGACATTCAACGTGGCCAATCACCCAAGACAGGAAGGACATTCATCACGCGGAGCGGAGGATAAATCAGTACGAAAGCAGAAAGGATCCATTTTTAACTCTCCATACGAGACCGACCAGACCTAGAGTACCTGTGGTGGATGGAGACCGAAAGCCAGGATCCTACCAGAGACCAAAGAAAGGATGCCGGCCTATTTCCTTCAAGGAGAGAACTGTTGACGACTCTGCGAGGAAAACCAGTGTGGGAAAACTTTTCGGTCATGAAAACGCAACCTCCTTTTCAACCCAGTCGTTTCTGAGAAGGTGCGCATGCCGAATGAGCAGAGGGCGTCTTATACCTGCTCATGCCGCCTCTGTGGGCTCCCAAGTGAGTTTGGGGGAGCGAGCAGCTTATTTGCCGCCAAGGCTGGGGAAGGCCGACTCGTCCTTGGTGTTGATGGCGGCGTTGGCCTCCTTGCGACCACCACCACGATCAGCGCGCTCGCCGCCGCGGAAGTTACCGCCACGGCCACGCTCGCCACCGCGGTCACCATGGCCACGGCCACCACGGCCGCCACGGCTGCCGCGCTCGCCGCTGAATCCGCCGCGCTGGGGGCGCTCAGGCTCGACGTAGCGCATATCGATGTCGATGGTCTCCTTGGTCTTCTGGGTGCGCTCACGCTTGGCCTTGCCGCTGGAGGCGGGCATGTAATCGCTCTCATCGCGGACGACCTCCTGAGTGGCGCCCCACTTCTTGGAGGAGCCCTCGTTGGCCTTGCGGACCTCAGGGGTGCTGTCGAGAGCGGCCTTCTTCTCGGCGAGCTGAGCGAGGTAGTCGTTGTAGGAGACGTGCTTGTCCTCAGGCTCCTCGACCTTCTCCTCGGCATCCTCAGCGGCGGCATCCTTCTTCTCAGCCTCGGCGATGGCATCACCGGCCTGCTCGTCCTTCAGCTCAGCGTTGCCCTCAGTGGCACCCCAAGACTGGGCAGCCTGCTTCTCAGAGCCGCTGAAAATTGCTCGTTAGTATTTGTAACGGCCACTACGGTGGGCATTGTGCTGAATTTACCTGGGAAGACCCTTGGTGTGACGGTCGTCACGCTCGCGAGGGAAGCGACCACCACGGCCTGGGCAAAACATTAGCAGTCCGTCGACAAAGGACAAGCGCCTGGCGGCAAGCTCAGCGGAATGGACTCACCACCACGGCCACGGGCGCCGTAGCCACCACGGGCGCCGCCCTTAGCGGCCTCCTCAGTAGAGCGGCCACGGTTGCGGTCGCTGCCGGAGTTACGGTCGCGGAAAGCTGGCAGAAATCGTCAGCTGGTGTTCATCATGACGGAGGCACGGCGTAACATACCGGCATCGTTGCCGGAACCACCACGGCGGTTGCCAGCGCCGCCAGCGGGAAGGCGGGCGGGAGCCTCAGGCTCGGCGTTGCGCTTAGTAGTGCGAGCGACCGGCTTGTCGACGGTCTTCACGGGGGCGCGAGGGGTGTCATCGCCATCGTCGTTACCTGTGGAGGAGGGTTAGACTCGAGGCAATTGATATATGTCACGACGAGAGGCCGGATTGGGCATCGCGAGTTGCATACCGAGGAGGTCGTAGAGGTTCTGTGGGATTCCAGTCAGCTCCGTGCGGGCAGAGGAAGGGGTTCAACGGATATAAATGAATTCCAAGACAATATCGATAATGTGTCTGGAGGGCTGAAGAAAGTTGGTTGTATCATGGACGACGTTATGGACGACCGTCCAACATGGCCACGACGACGAAGATTGGTGGTGGGTATGAAGAAAAAAAGAGACATGGCACATACCTTGCTTGCGACCGACATCTTGTCGCCTGGATTGTGGTTTACAATAGCGACCTAGTCTTTCTTATATTTTGGGGGAAGATCGCACGGTCAGACCACCATGACACTGCGCAGTGACGATGCTTCGGGAGGTCGGGGAGGGCGTGTGGTTGGTGATGATGTACGGGAGGTGAAGAAAATGCGCGACGAGGACGAAGCCAGAGCCAGCCAGCACGAGCACCATCTGGGGACGGCCAGCCACTGTTTGGGCGAATGAGAAGCGCCGGGGCCCCGCTTGGGCCAATTCGGTCCATCTTCGGGTTCGCTTAATGTGGTTCTTGTGAATCGCACCGCGAGATTCCTTAGGGTTCGACTCCGGCAGCATGATAATCCGCTCCGGTCAACGCTGCTCATTGGCTCAGTAGCCAAGGGACCGGGGCTTCTTGGATGACTCAGCTGGACGAGGGCTTCGCAGCTGGTCCGTCTCATTTCAGGTTGGAACTGAGCTCCAGCTCCGCACCTGGCCAGCACCGCACCCGGACGTCATCTTTCAGTGGCATCATCCGCCCAAGTCAGCCTACCGGAATGATCCCAACTAACACCAATAGCCGGTCATGCGACGACCTGCTGATCGACTCAGCGTGCCACTATCCCGAGATGTCAGCCTGACTTCCTCATGGCCCGCTTGTCTAAGCCAGACTCAACCCTGGACCGAGGTGTAGCTGCAAGCTGCAAGCTTAGGCCCTGGACGCCAACTGCCGACGGCCAATGCAACTTCTCAGCCAATCCCATCTTCTCCACAGCCCGCCACGGATCACTTTGGGGAAGTTCGCCTCTCAAGTGATGGAGGCTGATCTCAGGGGGCTCAGCACAGCCGGGGTTGGCTTTCATTAATGCTTACTGCCGTTCGAGTTGAAGAGGCAGCTCGTCATCGCTGCTGGCCACTTAACTGGTAATCCTAGGCTCATCCGACCCATCCATGTTGCGCACGCTCGAGTCCCTTTTACCTGGTTGGCTACAAGGCCAATCAGTCTTCTTCTGTACGCTTCTGCCATAAGTGTACCACCATGTAAACCAGTTCACTGGCTCTAGGAGGCCTGGAAGTCCCTGAACGGGGTGTATTCGGCCGCTGCAAGGAACGCCCTCGAAAGTATCACGTGGGAGGGTATTAACATTTCAAAATGTAGCAAGTGAAAATGTCTCCTCTCATCACGCATGGATGAGCGATACGCCGTGGGAAGGTGCTCACAGCCGATTTAAAGCAGCACCAGCGAGTAGAATCAATAGACCCGCGATAGCCAGACCTTCGGAGGGAACTTGCCACAAAAAATGGCTATATTGGCACCTGGCTCGGCGTTCCCTCAGTCAACGATGAAAGCTCCAAGGCAATAAGAAAGACTTGCGTGGTACAGCCACCACGAGACTCTTCGAGCACCAGGCGTGCTTTTCGCAATCTTCTTGGCCATGATATTGCCTTCCCCCAAGTCTTCCCAAGGGGACACTTATTCGTTCGCTCTTTCTCAAGTCACTGATCTCTTCCGATCTCATTCTCGGGTTCCCGGAAGCCTTCTAAGAGATGAAGTATATGTTCGAGATGCTGTAGGAAAGATGTAGCTGTTCGGACGCTGAGCTTTACTCGACTGAAGTCACCCTCTAGACACAGCTCGAGCTGAGGTCACATATATATGCCGTTCCTTGTCGACCGCCATCTGACAAAGGGTTAGCAGTCTCGGCGATCGTCGCATCAACATTGCCAGGATCATGGCCTTACTGTGTCTCACGTTCTTGCGTTGGCTATTCATATCCCTCTGTCCATCAGGCCGCGCAATCCAAAGAAGTCTTGAAAGCCCGTCCGGCCAAGCTCAGAATATTGGCCCATTTGCTGCATCGTAAACTAGGTAGAGAGGGCCGGGACGCGAGGTACATGTACATGTATAACGAAAGCTCAAGGCCTACCGGTTCTCGACCGCGTCTCGTCTGCTTACTCCACAGACCATTGCTCATGACAAGCTTTCACACTGATTATGAACGCTGGCCCTAGAGAAAAACTTCGTCTCTAACCCACGCTGACGGGAGTATGGCGGTGTGCAAGACGATGCTGTGGTGGATTTGAGTTCGATGCGACACCGACAGTATAGGTACATTGTCATATGCTTCCTGGGACTGCAATCCTGTTGCACTATACGTTGTGGGTGTACATTACTATGATTAACTTTACAGTTGACTCTGCTCCCTCGACATGCTTCTTTGTGATGTGAAATCCATAACCGTCGACGCGCTGGGTAATGGAGCACAAGCGTAGGCACTTTGACTTCGGGACTCGTGGAGACTACATGGTACTTTGGAAGATCCATGAATTCATTGAAGTTAGAGATAAAGAATGAACCATACTTTCACTCACTGCCACGATGTGTTTTCGGAGCAAGACTGCATAGGTTTTTAGTGTGTTAGGAGGTTGATAATCCAGGATCCCCCAGTGACACTTTGAGGACGTGGCAAAGTCGGCACACATCCCAGTGACTATGCGCTGTCCTGAACATGTGACAGCCACTTGCTGACGAAAAACGCGTGGTTCATTGTGCACACACAGCCAGGAAAACCTCCACGCTACCTCGAGAACAACACCGGTGATTGAACCAGCCAATCCGGACACGTCCACGGTTCGCCGTGTCGCACGATAATACTGCCTATCAAGAAACTTCCCGGCCACCAGAGCAGCGGCCGTTGTGTAAGGGAGGCAAAGAACTGGACTTCTGAGAGTCCAAAACCCGCTCTGTTCATAACACACCGAGCTTCCTCCAACACACCCAAGACACAACTGCCAAGGCATTTCGCCATCATCTCATGCACGCCATTATGCCGCGGTCCCCGACCTGCATGACAGGGAAAACCTCGATGCATAAATCACTTTGTAGAAACAAGGAAAGCAGACCAAAGAAAATAAAAAATGAAAAGGATTGGACAGCTTTGCCTCTGACATTTGTCAACCCATCACAACTCAGAACCTCCAACACGTAACCCGTACTCCAACCGGCACATGACCTCCAATTCCCAACACCTCCACACAACCTCCGCCCGTGCCCGTATCGGACCAGACGGAACCTCACCCCCTTGGTGACATGAACCCCCTTGTCGGCACCCCGCTATCCCTCATTCGGACCCAAAAGAGCACATCGTGCATTAGCGCCATGATGCCCGCCCTCCGATCCCGGATCCTCCTACAGGGCGCGCTCTCGCGCCCCGTCGGTCCCCACCGCATCATTATCCGCACACCCCCGCTTCCTGCCCGCCCGGCGCTACACAATTCTTGCGCCCTCTCAACCTGCCAACTGAGACTGAGGGAAGAAAGAGCGGCATGGTCGGTAAGTGCATGATCTCCGAGTAGGCGCTGGGCGGATATTCGCAGGAAAATAATCAAATACGAAAGAAAAGGAGAAGACGTCCCGTTGAAATATGATTAACAAAGAGTTGGGACAGTTGCGCCAAGTGCAAAAGGCTTGGTTGACCTGTCAAGACGTCAATCTTCACCCAGAAAGGTGCAGCTCCAGTAGACAAGCATTTTCCTGTCCTGGCGGCCGGCTATGAAGGACAAGACAAGCGGTGGCATGGCTCGCGCTGCGAGGACGCGCTCAGGGTCGTGAGTTGCTGATGGAGGAGAAAAGGGAGGGCTTTGGTCGGGCTCCTTCATACCAGCTCAGCAATGCCTTCCGCTTGGAACGCACGATATCTCCCCGCCGCCCCGTGCTCCTCCGCCCAGGAAACGCGCCCCAAATCTCACGATGTCCCGCCCGCTCGAGTCAGAAGCAGTCACTTTCACTGTCTCGGCGCCTTGGTGCTCTGCCTGATTACGTACTCGCCCTGGGGATTTGTCTTCCCCAGGGGGGTCTCCCGGCAGGATTTGACCACAAATGTGATGCGCCTAATGAGAGATCGCCAGCGTTCCTGGTTGTGACGTGACCAGACACTGAAAGTGTTTAGCATTTGTGGCCAGACCCTCTCATTTACATCATTACGTTTAACGTAGGTAAGAACCTGGGTGAAAACCTGGAGGCGGGGCTCGTGTACGAGAGTGGATGGACGGCCAAGGACGAAGTTTTGATGGATACTATGCATGTTCCATTCGCAATGTTCGGCCCAGCTAGCGCTGTAGGCTCGAAGATGATATAGCGTCAAAATGACGAATAGACTAACTATTGGGGGTTAATGTGGTTTGTTGTTTGGTTGTTTGTTGTTTGTTCGAGAATCCCCCCGTTTCGCAGGGTTTTGAGAAAGCCACTTTTGTGATGTCCACCAACGCCGGGTAAAACAGTTCAAAATCAGAAAAAGCACAAGAAATGGTTATACAAAATCCGAAGACAGATGCCAAGCCGCCGCCGCACACCCCCCGCCGACATGGGCACTACCGCCAACCGCCATCTGTCGCTCATCTGTGTCTCGAGAGTCGTTTTCGCAACTTCTCCCGGGTGAAGTAAGAAGTGATTTCGCCTGCGCCATGTAAAGTCGTGTCCTGAACGAATACCACGAGAGCCCATATCTGGGCTTCTCCGTACCGTGGAAATTAAGGGAGCCGTTATCGCCGTTGGCTCTGTCGTAAGAATTCGTCTCGACGCTGTCATGAAATGCCGCCCTGGGTATCAACTTTTTCGTTCGCCGTAAATCATCCGCCCCAAATAAGATAAGAAGAAGAGTATCTGAGCTTGCCCGACAAGCCAGGGACCAGGTCGGGCTCGCTGAGGTTGTAGAGGTCCAATGGACCTTCCTACCTCATGTTGCTAGTGTCGAAGGAGAATTGCGTGGGGAAAGCCATGCTCGCGCTGAGACCAAAGGGGTCCCAGTCGCCTCCATTGTCGAGAAGCTGGGTCATGGAAGGATATGCGCCGTGTGGTGCCTGGGACGACTGAACAGCCTCGCCTTGCGTAACGTGATGGCCGTTGTGTCCGCCGTTGGGCGAGGTCACCATTGATGGTTGGCCGTCTTGATACTGCGCGGGGTAAGGCCCCGGGCCGCTCGGAGTGTCCATCTCCGAATCGTCGACCATGTCAGCCGGAGCATCATATTCTTGCTCTGCAGTGAGGTCGGTGGTTAGCCATCGTTTGAAGTGATGCAATGCAGGAAAAAGCCTTACCAAGCTGTTCAATGTGGTTCTGGAATGCCGGCGTAGGATAGTACTGAGCTCCGGTACCGACGCGAGCGGGACCACTCGACATCATGTGCGCCCGGGTGGCAGGGTTCATGGGCGCCAGAGGGCTGATGTGCGACTTCATCGCGCCAGCCATCCGGGGGGCGTGGTCAGACGCGGCAGGAGAGACGGCCGAAGGGCCGCCAAAGACGGATGCAGTTCCGGTGGGCGAGTTGGCATGCGACGAAGGCGTTGGGCGGCTCTTGGGTGATGCCGTCGAGGTGTGAGCGTGGAGCGGGGGTAGGGCCCCGATACCACGCTCCAGTTTCGGAGCAATACTCGAGTTGGACCTGCGAGCTTGGTGCCTGCCCATGATGGCGCGCTGGATCGGCGGCGGCTGTACCATGTTCTGAGGAACATGGGTAGGGCCCAGGTTAGGGCTGCCAGTTTTGGCGCGGAGCTCGGCCTGAACGTCGATGCCCTTCTCGAGCAGGATGCGCTCGAGGAGAGAGTTCTTGTAGCGAAGCATCAGACATTCATCAGCAGCAGTACGGTGAGCAGCCTGCAGGTTGTGGAGGTTCGACTCATGGACGCGAATGGCCTCCTCGAGCTGCTTGATGTACTCAGTACGGCGCTCACGGAAGGCGGCCTGCGCCTGTCGGTTACGCTGCTTGCGTTCCTCCGAAGTGGCATAGATCTGAGACGGAGGTTAGCATCTGATTGGAGTGATATGGTGCGATGGCTAGGGGTCAGCACCAGGATGGCATCGGGGAGGTGTCGGCGGCGGGACGTCTGCTGCTTGACGGCGATAGTCGCAGGCAATACTGATGCTAGACTTGGCACCGCACAAGGGTTTGGGGAAAAGTGCAAGAGGCTGGATGTTCCATGTCGTGGCTATCTGGCGGGGTCGTTGCAATAGCAGGGCAGATGGGGAGATGAATAAATGACTGGATGGATGGATGGCTGGGTGGGTTGGGTGTAGGCGTGGCAGTGGGTGAGGCATACAGGTGGTGGACAAGGAGAGACAAGTGGTACCTACGGGCTTGCGGCCGCCCTTGCGCTTGGGCTGCTGGTTCTCCTGAGAGGCATTACCAGCGGCGTTGTTGGCGTTGTTGGCAGAAGCATGGTGGTCGGCCTCGAGGCTGGAGCCTCGGGACTCGGGCGTGTCGCCGTCGACGGCGTCGTGCTTGTCGATGGACATGTTCTCTGCCATGCCTCTCCTCTTCTAGAAGCTGGGACGAGAATCTGGGGTACGGGGACCACAGAGGCGATTGCCGCTTGGCAGCAAAGCACCCCAGGCTGTCAAGCAAGCAAAACGGGCAGCTGTGACGTCGCAGCGTTCCACACTGGACGCGGATTGAAGCTCTGGATGGTGGAAACGCGGTGGTTTGGGGAAGGGTTGGTGCGTCGCTGCGGGCGCAACGAGATGGAAAGCGGTACTGCTGTGTGCGTCCGGGCGAGCGATAGAGATGACCGACAAGGGGAGGGTACTGTAGTGCGTGTTTGCGCCCGCAAATGGGCACCGGTAGGACGGTTGAGATCTCGGAGCCGCAAAATAGAGTACGGCTTGTGCCTCTGGTGCCTCTCGTGCCTGGGGGCTCGGGGGGCGAAGAGGATGGCAGCGGGCGCAACGGGCGAGAGAACAGCAGTTGAATGGACAATTGAATGGTTTTGGCCAGCCCAGAGATAAGAGATGCAAGCGATGAGAGGTTGCGGTGTGTAAGGAAATGAAAGAGGCCCGGGGGGCTTTTATGTAATGAAAAAAAGATTTGGGGGTTGCTCGGAGGTGCCTGCCCTCCTTTGCTACCGTTCCTGCGAGCCCGCCCAGCTAACCTCACCTTTACCTAGACCCCCCTTCCCCCCCCCCTCCCCTCCTCCTTCCTGTGCGTCCTGTGGCCCCCGCTCACCCCCTGGTCCTCAGCGCATCCCTGAGCCAGTCAAAACAGCCATGGTCCCCGCTCACTCCG